AAAAAAAAAAAAAAAAAAAAAAAAAAAAAAAAAAAAAAAAAAAAAAAAAAAAAATAATAATAATAATAATAATAGAGTTTTATCTAATGACACAGAAATCAAGTGCCAAAACAAAAAAGGCACACGCCAAACCTTTGAAAAATGTGGTTGTTTAAAGAAATATAACATTTACCCTGTTGATTTCTAGAATTTTTGTATTGGATGTTTGGAATTTATAAAATCCAATAGCCTCCTCTCTTCAAATTCAGAGAACAAATCTGCCTACACTAATTCTAATGGTTTTAAATATTTCGTGTTTGAAGCTTTAACCTAAATCAAAAAAGAAATAACTCTCAACCTCTTCTTGGAATAGATTTCTTTTTATTCTGAGAATTTTTTGGCATGGCTAATTCCTTTCTTTTTCTAAATAACTATTATAGTACTAAAAACTGCCAAAATCAAGTAGAACATACAAGGTTGAGAGCCCTGTGCTAGACCAACCAGCTAAATACATATTTTAACCAATTTAACTAGATTTTGATTTATTTCTCGTCTAATTGCATTTTTGGAAAGAAAAAAAAAACATAAAAACAAAAACATAATCGAGAATAGTAATCAACCTATCAAGCTTTGAGAATATCTTTTGTGAAGGACAAAGATTCATCCGTTCAGTCTAACCGTATTAAACATTTGTGCTCTTTTAATAAATAACTATTAGTATATTAAAATCTCCAAAACAAAATAAAATAGACAATTACGAAAGAGGTAAAAAACAGAAAGAAAAAAATTACCTTGGCCCACAATGGGGTCGAACGCACGATCTCAAGGTGAAGAGCCTTGTGCTCTTCCGACATGAAGCTGTTAATGATATCACATGGTTTTTGCGCCTCCGCCTTGTAGTCACCTGAGTAGAAAATTAAATGGATAAAGAAAGAGACAGTAGAAAATTTTCAGGGAAGCATCAATGAATTAAGTCTCCATGACGAATGAGTTGAGCATCTCCATGTTTGCAAGTAAAATAATACCAAGTTCAAGTAAATGTGAAATGTCTAATAGTACAATGAGGAGACAAACGACCTAAAGAAGGGCGTTGGGTTGCTTTTCTGGTGACGAGGCTAGGAATTCTCGTAACTTCTTGTAAGATCCATAAATCCTTGCTAAAGTAGGAAACTTGAACTGCATTATCCAAGAGCAGAAATTTGTTATATGAGTGATGGATTATCTTTGCAGAGAAGTGCTATAAAAAATTTAACCCAACGTCGAGTTACCGTTTCTTCGAATCAATGTGATACATTGTGATATAAAAGTGCTTGGTCGCCTGGTATTTGAGTTTTTTTTTTTCAAATGTTTGAAATTTCATAAACTTAAAAAGAGGAAAATAGGATAATGGATTGGGTTAATTGCGAGGGGAGAAATAATACCATGTCAATGTTGAACTTCACAATAGCATTTGAAATTTGGATGGCCAGGAATACATCAATCTGCATGTGACAAAACAAGATTAAGACCATGATAATGAAACTTTAAAAAATGAAATATTAAGTAGCAAAAGAATCAAAAATATTTTGAAACGTGCCATATGTACTTATCTCCAAAAGCATATTGGCCAGAAAAATCCTTTAGCAGTTTCTCACGATCTGTGATACACAACAGATGCAAAATTGAGGACCATTATACTTGCCACATCACACAATGGGTCGGTGCATAAGTGGTTTTATTCTACCCAATATTTCTTAAACAGTGTGTTTTTTACGCATAATTACGACAATGAACACCAAAATACTTAACAAACGTACCATTGAAACCTTTTTTGTAGATTGGACTGAGCACATGGTAGTTGCTATTCTGGACCAAATTTTTCCTCCATAGTTTTCTGATAAAAAATGTATATAAACGTGAACTAGATTAACTTAAGAAATACAGGCAATTAGGCAATTAGGCAACATAGCTAATACAAATACAATCTAACAGCAATCCCATAATAATAATAATTAATGACTGATTAATGACAAATTGTATGCTTTACAACATGATTTCCCAATCAACATATCATTTTTTATATGAGCCTATCAATATAGCGATACACAAATAACCCGACTAAATTATAAGTTACATATTTTTGTAAAAAATGGTTTTGAAGTATTCACTACTAAGGGTAAACAAAAAGTAAAAAATAAAATGTACCCCACAGTGGGATAGCATGACAAACAGACAAAGAACAAAAAATACACCGTGCCCACCTTGGGGTTCGAACCCATGACCACAAGGTTAAGAGCCTTGCGCTCTACCAACTGAGCTAGACAGGCCTTGCTATAGGTTCAAGCTGACAATACTTGCCACCTGCAACATGATTTCCCAATCAACATATCATTTTCTATATGTGCCTGTCTGCATCATGGTACACCAATAATCCAACTAAATTATAAGTGAATTCTCATTGGCAGATAATCTATCTACTAATCATGTATGCTTTTGTCAAAATGGTTTTAAAGTATTCACTACGAAGGGAAAAAATACATATGTTCCGTGTGAGCCTTTAGTTCTCAACCTCACTTCCAAAAAAAGAAAAAAAAAAAATACTAGGCACAAATTATGTTATGTTTCTAAACAATTGTTACGTATGAATGAAAAAGCCAATGCCAAATGTAATATATAATTACACAAAAAGTAAAAAATAAATGGGGCTACATGACAAAGACAAGAAGAAAAACGTAATAATAGGAGGTATGCTTGAGCAGACGATACTTTGCTACCTGCAACATGATTTCCCTATTAACATATGGTTTTTTATAAGAGCCTAACAGCATAATGATATACAGATAACCAGACCAAATTATATGTGAATTCTCATTGGCACAGAGCTATAATTTTTGGTTTCCTTCTCTGAGAATGAGAAATCACAGATTTTATTGCTCAATTTTCACTAGAGTTCACAGGGTTCTTGCATTAACAGGTTTTACACTGAAACTAAGCATTTAATTGATGCAAGCTAATCATTCTCGTATGGACTCAAAACATAGAATGTAGGATCTCATAACATATATATGATGCAAAATAAAATGTTCCTCAAGATTTTAAAATTCAGTTGGTGGACTTGATAATCCGCAGTTCAGAGCACACGTTAAAAATGAACTGTAGGCCAGTAGGAGCATCGTAGGAACAAGTAGTTAAATGCAAGGACATTTTTCTTAGATCTAGAGAGCTCTCTTTTAAACGTCTCAATTCGTAGCTAGCCATTACTGATCTTACACGAAGATTAAGAGATTTTAAATAAAGATCAGAAGGCAGCAGCACCTTCTGCGGATGTTTCTCCTCCAGATACTTAACAATAACAAGAAGAAAAGTGTGACAGTGTTACAAGCATAGTTTAGGAGAGTAAGAGAAACAGAGGTTCAAAACGAAGCAGGAGAAAAGAAGGATGACTAGTATATTCAGATCCGTGAGGATCCAAAATCTTCTGAACAGGCATTTGCTAAGCCATTGGCCAATTCAGAAGTTCAGAAGCAAAAAATTCGTTCGGCAGTTTTTGGTTCTGTCGATTCGCATAAACACGTCAATCTCAAGGTTTACCTGGAGTTAATTGTTCTCCTCTCCCAAGGTTTACTGCTCTGTACTCGTAAGAAAGCCCTAAGCAACAGTTGCAACACATTTCAGTAAACAAAAGTATCAAGTTCCACAACTTTCATTTGTTTGATTTACTATCACAACCTTCATTTCAGCTCAGAATCAATTTAAGTAATGTCACTATGCGTTTAACGACGGATCAAACTCCTAATCTTCTATACTACAAACACAATCTCCATATCCGCTAAAACTCAATCTAAACAAGATAACGTGTATTTTACAACAAATCGAACTCAATTCTTCTGCACTTCAAAATCGAAGATGAATTTTCCAGTAAACTCAAGAGAAGAAGAAAGACCTTTAAGATTCAACGCAAAGCGAACACGCTACGAGCAGGAGCTCCGCCAGAAAGAATAAACAAGCAGCTAATACGTTGAAGAATCGTCCGAACTTTTCTGTAATGACAAAAACAGAAGTATAATCAGCATTATACTACATTTCCTAAAGATTTCGAGTTAAGAAAGTGAATCCGTCTCTACAATTATTTTATCTTCAGATCAAACGATTTCAAGAAACCGCGCGCGCTCGAGAGAGAGAGAGATGATACCTGAGCCTGAGCTTCGAAGTCCATGATCATCAACGAGAAGAAGAAACAGCAGGAGACGCTGCTTGAACTAAAGCGGTTAGTAATTAAAGACTAGTGCGCTGCACTTGGCATGCGTTGTACTTATACTCGGAATAAATACAAGAGAGAGAAAAAAATAGTAGATGATCGTGAAAGGAAAAAAAATTAATTTTCTTTTTCTTTTTTTCTCAAAAAAATGAACGTGTCCAATATTTTCCCTCCAAGCCTTCCATTTCATCGGATTATATAAATTAGGTAGAATTTTTTTTAACTGTAAAAATGGTTTAAAAAAATTATATTATTATACGTCTAATAAAGTATAAAATATGAGATGAAATTGAAAATATGGTGAGATAGCAAAATCCAAGTGATATGGAATATATTAATAACTTTATTTTATTCAACTTAATGAATTTATGACATATTTTTTACAAAATAATAAAGATAAAATTAAAAGCAAGTTTTGCGCCGTACTTAAAATCTACAAATACATAATTAAAATATAAAAAAGCCAGCACAAAATACATTAATTTATATTTTTGTCATATAAAAAATTAGAACAAATTACACTTTTAATCAATGAAGTTTATGCTTATTATCTATTTAATACCTAAAATTTCAAAAACCATTGGTCTTGGTTGAAATTCTATTAATAGTTGACTTTCTATGCATTTTAAATTTAAATTCAACCTCTCTTCTAGAAAGGGAGATCGATCAACATCAGCCAACAGCCCTGCAGATTTTACAATCCCATGTTCAACAGAGGTCATATTACAATGAAAAGTTAAAACTTAATCATCCGTAAATATCACAATACAATAATCACCAGGACGGGTACGGGTACTGTCGATGGGCAGTTCATACGGTTGTTGCAGCGACATTCAATCGAGCCAAGCACCATACTAATCTTTTCGGAGGTCCAGGTATTCGCGACGAATGCCATCAGCATTAAGAATGACGATTTCGAGTTTGTCACCCTGAAAAAAACAAATTTTCAGAATTGGAACCTACGCAGTACCCAGAATAAGGATATAAATGGTGGAAGAAAATTACGGTGTAGATATCCCTCTCAGTAGCAGATGCAAAAACAGTTTTCACCAGGTCAATTGCTTCAGCTTCTGAAAGAGGCGTTGCAGAATCCTGTTCATTATAATTTGTTGATTGAGATAATAGGAGTGCATGCCAAAACAGGAAAAACAACAAATTCAACCCAGCCAAGTTAGAACAATTGGTATGAATTTTGAACTACCAGATAGGCAAAGTAAACCTCGTACAAGCAAGGGGGGCACGGGGCGGACAAACGTGAGAAGAGTAGACAAGTAAAAGGGAAGAGGGAACTATCTGGTGTTATCTGCTAGGGGATGAATGGGATCCTTTAGGATACGCTTCATTTTTTACAGATTACAGGACTAATGTATTTTCGGAGAGATCAGAGCTCTCCGAATGTCCAAGTTTGTTACCTTTTCCTTCTATATCGCCTAATAGAGCATTTCCAGTTTTCTTACTCCCAATGGTTAAATCGTTATTCTTGTCCACATCGAAAGTTTAAAACTAAAATAATAATGATAATAACTATTTGGTTCGGTTTGGATATCTATTGGGTTCAGTCTATTTTTGCCAAGCAGTCCGTTTGGTTGCCGGGAGGAAGGAAAACCATTGATACCAGTTTTTATTTTTCTCGTTTCCATTAACGTTCCTCCTAAGGAAGGGTAAGAGATCATACCTGTGCAGGCAATAATAGAGGGCTGGGAGATTTCAGTTGGTTATCTAAAAAGGGCGTGATGAGGGTCGAACCAGAACCCTGAGCACTGTATCCAACTCTCTCATAAGAACCAACAGCATCATAGGTGAACACACAACCCTTTCCTATTTCAAGAAGAGAATAACTTTATAGTTAATGGGAAAGGGAAGCATAAAACTCGAACTACAAGCAGGGAGGTCACGTACCTTCATTATCAAGTCCACCCAACACATTAAAAGCATAATAAGGAAAGAACCGTTTGAAGTACAATGTATTCGAGAGCAGTTGAGCCATCGCAGGGCAGCTCATTTGCTTGTTGTGTTGATGTTGGTAGGTCTGAAAGTAAAGCAAGTAGCATATGAGACATCAAAATAATCCCCCAACCCGAAATCTTATGTCTATAAAATACATAATAAATTTAAAAAATGAAATTGACAAAATGCTTTGTCCATCAGCTTCTCCCAAAAATCGTGCAATTGAGAGTCAAAGTACTAAAGTTACACCACAAAATTCAATTCAAAAGAAAAATGGGGTTCCATTATGAACAAAATTAGATTATGCGTGAAAGACTAGGATCAAAACTCCAACATGAAAAGGGAACACATTAAAATAGAAGCAAATTGCAAAACTTGTAAAAAAACAAACATTGCAGAATAGAAAATCAAAATAAGAAAAGTGAAGTCTCTTCGCTCCTAAAATCATTGTAAGATCAAAACATCATTGTGACATCGAAAACAAAAAGAAGTCGTATCATTGAATAGATCAATATTCGGGTTGAAATCGTAACCCACACACTATCTACAAATAGATCAATATTCGGGTTGAAATCGTAACCCACACACTATCAAACTCACATAAAATAAGAACAATTAGGTGCATCAAAAACTCAAAGCCTTGTGAATGAAGGCTTTAAAGCATAGCATTTGACTAATATGCATTACAGAGATCAACTTCATTAAAATGAAAGTCTCACCAAATGTCTAGCCGCCAGAACCTTTTGTAAGGCTTTTACATCAGCTTGAAAGCCAGAAGAGGCCATCACAGCTTTGTCAGCCCTGCAACATCAAGAATCATAACATGAATAAGTGCATCAGTAAAACGTAAACATATGTGGATAAGTGAGCTTTTACAAGAGTGGAGTATACTAGTAATGTCACAACCATAGAATCGAAAATGCACGATGTTTCATGGAATTAACATGAATGAGAATTGATATTAGATGAAATACAATAACAAAATATGAGGAAACCTTTCTTGACCAGATTGAAGAAATCATGTAACAATCGCATAACATAACAAGAGAATACAAAACATCAAACCATTAGTTATATTAGCCACTTGAATTACATTACAAATTCAGTACTAACCATGAAAACATAAAAGAAACCTGAAGCTAAGTAGATTTGGAGGAGGAAAGAAACTTACTATCAGGGGGGAAAGAATCCATTTCTAGTATCCGTGGAGAGTAAAAGAAACATCAAACCATAGATTTCGAACTACTATTCCGAAACTCGACTAAGCTTAAGAATTCAAATTCCAGAATAAAGTTAAATTCGATGAGAGATTGACATACAGCTTACAAATTTTGGAGTAATCGCGAGTGAGGATGTTGTAACCCGTAGACAACCGAGTATCAGCGGCGATTACACAGTAATCGGCACCGGCAATCGCAACACAGGATCTGCACAAAGCTCGTCACTGATTCATCACCGGAACAGATAATAAAAGCATCAAAACACTGCATAGAGAATGAGAGAGAAAGAGAAAGTACCCGCCATTGTTGTCGTAAGGGGACCAGTTGGCTTGCTGCTTCGTCATGGCGAATAGGTCAGATAAAAGCGAAAGCGTCTTGAGAGAAGAGGAACTTAGCAAGGCAAACCCACAAAACTTGCTCTCTGGTTTATGGCTTTCTCGCTTGTTTTCTTTAGATCTCGCGGTGTCTTTTCGCTCAAGAAAAATGAAATGGAGTTCAAGGAGAAAAACGACGGCGTTTTCGTCGACCCGACCCAAAGGCATTGGTGGGCTGTTCCAACAAATTTGGAATTCATATCACAAAATGAAGCCCAAGCCTTTTTTATTTCTTATATTATTATTTGTTAGTAAATTTTGAGAAATCCACCCCTTTCGGCCTAGGGGCGTAACGTACTCGCTGGTACACTGTTCGGTGACTAGTTCCGATACTATTTGTAACAGCCCAAACCCACCGCTAGCAAATATTATCTAATTTAGTTCGTTACGTATTATCGTCAGCCTTACAATTTTAAACACATCTGTTAAGGAAAGGTTTCTACGCAAACAATTTAACTTTAAACAGCACCATAATTTTCATGTCCAGATCCTACACTTTGCAACCTCATCATCACCAAGTGATTTTTCAAATCGTACGGTATGATGCGATTCATTTATTCAAAGCGGTGCGGGACTTTTATTGGAGATTATTTAGGCTCCTCCCCTTAGACACGATTTCCTTAACCTATGCTATAACAACGTAAGCTCACCGCTCGCTTTTATATTTTCAATATATAATATTCTTTTTTTTTTTTCCAAGGTAATGATGATCACATGGAAGGCAATCCATTGGCAGATGAAAAGAAGAAAAAACATGAGAAAGAGAAAAAAAAAGGCCTTTAGGAAAATATGTAAGACAGAAACAGGAACAACCTGGCATTTCCAAACAACATAATCCAAACAAAAAAATCCATAAAAGAAGAAAATTGTCGAAAATAGATGAAAAGAAAGCAGAGGACATTCATTCATTACAGCCATCATCATCCTAATAACAGTACAGCACAAAAACCAAACTAAATCAGACATGTCCTAATTAATCAAGATTAAGAAAAATGTGTGAATCTAACGATGGAAAGTTGGTATTAAAACCTTCCCTAATTTTCACTGTTGTGGTGGTGGTGGTGGTGGTGGTGTGGTGGTGGTGATAGTCAAATCTCAAATGGTAATTTGGTAAGAACAATCAGAAAGCCTAGATCATGTTCATATCAGATCAATGTGGTCAGCAAGGAGGATTATCTGATGTTTTTTTTGGGTAAGCAACTAATTAGATTAGCCCGGGAGCGATATATTGATGTCGGTGGGCGAATTTCTCGTCTCCTGCAAGGAAGAACGCACGGCAGCATTGGCACCCCAATTGTCTCTCTGGAAAGCCGAAGGAGCAAAACTGGCCGGTTTTAGGGACCCGGGATTTGGTTGACCGTTACCGTTTAAACTGTCGTCTGTATCGGCATTGGAAGTCGGCACGGTGGTGGTTGGTGTTGTGGTCGGGGCTGCAACAGGGGCTGCAGCTGGTACTGATTCAGGCTTCTGTTTCTTTACTTTCGG